ACCTACCGAAATTATCGTGCAATTAATAATGGAAGGAAAATTCCAAGTGAATGTGATAAACAAGCCCCTGCTATCGAAGTACTGCTCTGTGGCAAAAGTTCTGAAAAGAGGTCGAAATAAGATAATGAAAACTAATAAAACCAAAGGCGCGGTGGCAAAATTTACCTCCAATTTTGAGCAAAAACTTCATTTAGCCATTCAGAAATTAAAATTGTGGAAGCTAAATAGATAAGCAAATGGAGATGCATACCCAATGAGCTAAAAATAGCGAAAAGCAAATAGCTATGCTTTCGCATGGTCACTGTCACAATTGGTAGTACTAAATGAAATAATATTATGCCGATCAACCATTTTTCTTTCCAAAATGGAATCTAAAAAGTTGAGCAATAATTACAGACTCACAGAAACGAAATAAGTAATGATTCCATCGATATGGCCACTGTTTATAGGATCAACTGGACCGCCCGACATACCATAAGTTAATCAGCTTTAATTATGCATTCATTACTTCATATTATTAAATAATTTTACAAGTAAAATTATTATGAGTATTGCTTAATTTTTGCGCGCGTTCAGTTCTTCGTTTTGCGTGCCTGATGGTGTCGGAGGTTTGTCATATTTTCATCGATATTTCAGACGCTTAATCCCAGGGCCTATCCTTTAGCTGGACCTGAACTTACAAATAGGATAATTGAACTAGTTAAACAATCAGTGAGCTATCGGCAACTACGCAAAGGAGCAAATGAGGCTACTAAGGCTCTAAACAGGGGCAAAGCCGAGTTTATTGTCATGGCTGCAGATGTTGAGCCCTTGGAAATCGTACTGCATTTGCCACTGTTGTGTGAAGACAAAAATGTCCCCTATGTGTTTATTGTCTCCCAAATGGGTAAGTCTAAATTCGATTATTTGGGGCTTAGCTCTTGGCAGGGCCTGTGGAGTTTCTCGTCCGATCGCGGCTGTCGCCATTACGGAAGATGAAGGAACCCAACTTAAGCCGCAAATAATCAGCATTCAGCAAAGCATAGAAAAACTTCTTATATAATAAACATTTCTCTAAGAGTGCCCTCA